AGACTTCTCCAATAGTCCAAAGGCCTCAACTAGGATGGTGGCCATGCAAGTATGGAGGAGACACACGCAAGATATGATGTGGGGGCATTATCAAGATTTGGCAATTGATTACAAATGGAGGGGAAGAAATAGGAGGAGTAAGGATGACTCCAAAGTGCTGACATTCATTATTATTTTTTTTTTTTTTGCTGAGGCATTCGGGGTTAAGTGACTTGCCCAGGGTCACACAGCTAGTAAGTGTCATGTGTCTGAGGTCAGATTTGAACTCAGGTCCTCCTGACTCCAAGGCCAGAGCTCTATCCACTAGCTGCCCCTGACATTCATTATTATAAGAGTAATGGTTCCCTCAACAGAAAAAAAAAAGTTTGGAGGAGAACTTCATTTAAAAGGGAAGATAATGAATTCTGTTTTGGACATGTAGAGTTTGAAATGTCTGTGAGACATCCAGGTGGATGTCTAGTAAGCAGTTGCTGATGCAGGACCAGTTATCTGGATTTGGAAATTATTTGCATAGATCTGATAGTTGAATACTTGAGAACTGATGAAATCAAGTGACAGAGCTTAATATGAAAAGAAAAGAAGGTCTAGGCCAGAGCCTTGGGATCACCCATAGTAAGGGAGTGAGAAAAAAAGAAAAAGAATAATCCATTAAAAGAGACTAAGCAACAGTCAGGCAGGTTTGAGGAAAACCAGGAGAGGGTCATGTAACCAAAACCCATGGAATAATACTATAACCACAATAATAAAAATAAACTAATAATTATAAAGCACTTAACACAGTGTCTGGCACATAGTAAGCACTATATAAATGCTAGCTATGATTATTATGAAGAAAAGTTATCCAGGAGGAGGGGTCAAGTATCAAGTGCTACAGGCAGGTCAAGAAGGATGAGGAATAAGAAGGGAACTTTATATTTAAGAGCTAAGATCAACGTTAATGAGAGAGGAAGGGAAGAGAGAGAGAGAAAGCTAGAGGGAGAAGAAGGGGGAGAGAGGGAAAAAGAGAAAGAGAGGGAGAGAGAGGGAGAGAGGGGGGGGGGAGGGGGGAGAGAGAGGCAGAGAGAGAGAGAGAGAGAGAGAGAGAGAGAGAGAGAGAGGAGAGAGAGAGAGAGAGAATAAGAATAAAAGCCACCATAGAATATCTCTTAATTACACCTCTTTCTTTTCTGTTACTTGAAACTCAGAATGGGAAACATTTGGGAATTGATGTTCAAGGGAAACAATTTAATTTTGTCATGCATTTTCTCATTTGACAATGATGGTTTCAAACTAACCAAAGAGAATATCTTTTTTGGCTTAATCCAAAGCAAACTGTCCAGTGCAGAAGCTGGCGAGAGTTTGGTACCTCATTATTAGTGTCAGTATGCAACATTGGAAAGTGTGGGAACTTGTATCTCTTTTTAATTTGTTGGGCACAGGTCCTCAGAGAGCACTAAGAAAAATGGGTGCTTAATAAAAACTGCTTGACAGTGAAATTGGCTTCAAAGTCTATGCCACTCTGGGTTTGTGATCCTTTTCAACAATACTAAATGATTCTTTCAACAATTTTTAAAGAGTTTCTCCCCTGAGAGCTTAAACTTTCCTTTTAAAAAATAATCATAGATGTTAATTTTACTTCTAAACATATTTTAATTTTGCAAACTTGCTCACTAATCCAATCAAAGTTTCTCCAGAAAATGCTTCACTCTAATGAGTTGGGCTCCAATAAATCTAATCAGGTGGTTCAAAGGGAAATACAATTAGCAGATTACAAAAACTTTAAGCAGAGTAGATTTATTCTACAACAAAATTAAAGCTTCATTTTTTAAAAAATCATAAAATTAATTTTCATATATTGCAAATAATTTTGCATGTACCCTATAGTTTTTGTTTGCATGACGTAGGCCTGTTCAGATGGCCTTGTGTGTCAATGGGCTCTCCCAAGCTACACTTTTGTTTCAGGATGCGTGCAGAAAATACTTTAAATTAGGTAGCTTGAGGATGACAATGTTGTTGGTTTTTTTAATTCAAAAAGCAAAGGCAGATATGATACTTTCATATTCAATGAAGAAAAAGTGAAGAAAGGAAGTATTTGGAAATACAAAATAAATATCTTACACTAATCCTATGCAAAGTGAATAGGCAGGATTAGACCTTTCTTCCCAGCATCAAGCCCTTTCCTAACCACATCCTTATTATACATGATCCCACTAGCCTTTGTGTCTGGGAGACACCATGACCAGAGCTAGATACTGAGGGCAAGACAGGCTTAGGAGCATTTATTTTAGCAGGACTTCTATTTTAAAAGATGTTAACAGCTAAGAATCATAGAAGTCATAACCATAAGCAATAAGCACAATTTTCTCTTTTAAACTGATTACCCCAATTTGATTTCCCCCCATCTTCCATGTTATTTTATGTGAATTTCTTTTTGAAGTAGAGAGGACATAAGGTAGAATTCATACGGTTTAAGGTTTGCAAAGTACTTTACACAGGTAAAGCTCCATTAGATTGTGAGCTCCTTGAGACCATGGGACCGTCTTTTGCCTTTTTTTGTATTCCTGGCACAGAGTAGTCACTTAATAAATGTTTACAGATTATCTCATTTGAGCTTCACAATGAGACAGACCAGGTGGCACTGGGCCTAGAACCAGGAAAACCTGAGTTCAAATACAGCCTGAGGTACTTACTGGCTGTGTAACCCCAGACAAGTTATTCAGCCTCTGTTTGCCTGAACTTCCTCATCTATAATACAGGGATAATAATAGTACCTACCTCCCAGGGTTGTTGTGAGGATCAAATGAGCTCATAATTGTAAAATGTTTAGCACAATGCCTGACACACAATGAGCACTATATAAATGTTAGCTATCAATTATTATTATCATTAGTCACAACAACCCTGGCTACAAGTTAGGTATTATTACTATCCTTATTTTACAGATAAGGAAACTGAGGTGATGAGAAGTTAAATGATTTGCCTCAAGTCACAGAGCTAGAAATTGCACAAAGTAAGATGCAAACTCAGGTCTTCTTAACCCTAACCTCCCCTTGCTACCTAACTGCCTTGATTAGTGGGTAGCCATTTTTTCTGTATTTCTATTGCTGACATTGAAATCCATCCCTGAGGTCATTACTTCACATCTTTTATCAATCAATACTCACAAGAAGGGCAGGTGGATGGCACAGTCCAGGCACACTCTTGCCTGGAGTCAGGAAGACTGGATCTTCCTGAGTTCAAATCTGGTCTCACATACTTACTAGCTGTGTGACCCTGAGCAAGTCACTTAACCCTGTTGGCCTCAGTTTCCTCATCTGTAAAATGAGCTGGAGAAGGACATGGCACACCACCCCAGTTTGCCAAGAAAACCCCAAATAGGGTCACAAAGAGTCAAACACAACTGAAAAATGATTGAACAACAAACTCTCAAGAAAGGATAAGTGGACTCAATATTATTGATATATTGCTCAGGTATAAATGTAAGAAATTGAACAATTTGCAGTTTCTAAATGATAATTGCAATTCTGCCAACCATATTCAAAGACGTCATTAAATTTGCAAAAAGGCTACCCACTGAATCAGTTATTGTGGCTTCCCTCACATTTTCCAGTGCCACTTAGCTAGGGGGCAGAGTGAACAATCATACAAATGCTCCTTAGATTAGGCCATATCCAGAGGCTTCTCTACTTCTAGCCTAGATGTAAGGACATGAGTTCAATTCCATGTTCATCACAGTAAATGTGAAGTTCTTACTGTTGAATGTCCATTTATTTAATACATTGTAAATTAGCTAGGAGTTCCCAAGAACTTAAAGTGTATGTATGAAACACGTATAGGACATGAGACAACAACAACAGTCAATTAGCTTTTTGCTTTTCTCTAGAGAAAATATAGAGTTGACACTTTTTTTTTACAAGGGTTACTTTAAAAACAAAAGACTTTGATAGACAAAGTGATTGCTTGGAATATACCTCTACAAAGGGAGTGAGCTCTGTCCACTCAACCTGATATAATGAAATGCACAAATTTGCAACAGTTTTCTGCATGAGATGGGTTGATGAAAGAAGGGAGAAAGTATAGATAAGAAAAGGTGGGAATAGTTTGTTTCCAGCACAGGAGAGAAGGAATTCCATAAAAGGTGGAATTTCTTACATACGCTACTGAAAGAAAATTGTCTTGAATGAAATGAAGGAAACTTTTGGGAGCATAGAGTGAGATGAAGGAGGTGAAGGTGATAGAACAAAACAGATAAAGAGCTTCAAAATTAATGAGAATGAACTCAATATGAAACACGAGTAGAGAAATTTTCACCAGGAAATGACAAAAGTCAAACAACAATCATTCAACAAATGTTTAGACTCTATTGTGCTCAGAGTACCCTGGATGGGGCAGATGTAGTGTTTAGAAGGATCACTTACAAGACCTAGGAAAATATTAACCAAAATTCTGTTATGAGGTGGCCAATCCTTATTGTGGAGATCTAGTCATGAGGATACCAAAGTAATGACACTTAGAAACAGACTAGAAACAGCAATGGCAACAACAGTGTTTGGTGAATTGTCCATGTCAAGGATACATGTAAGACAGCCCACCTATGCATTTTCTTCAGCACCAATATCATCAACCCATATGGGGCACAAATCCTCTGAGAATTTCCCTTAAGAGAAATGAATCTGAAATCTCATATCCGCCAAGGCCTGGCAATTTTTCAACACTTACACTTGGCTTTTATTTTCCTCCAGAGAAATTCCACTTTAATCTGAATCATTCAGTCCTAAAGGATGTCTGAAATCACACTTTGTGATGCAAGGCTAATTCTAGCAATAAAGCTTTAATTTGTTTTCACTGCTCAAATTCCACATACTCCAGGTCTCTTTAATGGGTAAAAACATGTTTAGTCTAATGTGTAATTGCTTGCGTTGGATGGTATCAGTTTGTTTCTTTTGATTAAAAAAAAAAGCCAAGATCAGCATATTGAAGGTACAGTTAAGCAGAAAACTGGAACAAGTTCACAAACATACCTGAAAAATTCCATGAAAGAGAAGCCGTATCCATGCTGCTCTGCAATTCCAGCACAGACGACATTGGCTGAGGCACCAATTAATGTCCCATTACCTGGAATCCAAAAAAGAAAAGTCAGTTAGCTTTGAGGCAGGTTCTGATTATGTCGCCCACATGTACATTTAGATGAGCTCACAGGTTTTGGATTTGACAATTACTAAGAAGGAAGATCAAGGCCCATTACTTTTCACACAGCTCCAGAGAAGTAAGTGTATGCAAATGACAAGGCAGTCACTTGCAAATATCTTAATTCTTTTTCCCCATAAGACCACAGCTGTTTTCTGAGTCACAATAATCAAAAGAGAAGAGGAAATATCAGATCATATCAGAAGAACAGTCCCTCAAGATGAACAGAGAAATTGGTCATTGGTTCTTCTCTTCCTCTATTTCTTTCTCTGTCTGCTTCTCTGTCTGTCTTTCTCCTGGGATGTATAAAAAAATTTGAGAAACATAGTTTCCAGGGAATTAATCATTTTATTAATCATCCCGGCACATAATTATTAAAAGGGTCAGTGGCACTTTCAAATGCCAAAGAATCACCCATGGAACCCTCATGGAACTCAACACATATGCTCTGGGAGGAGTAGGTGTTCCTTAGGGTGGCAATCAACTCTGACTGGTTAATAATGAATGAGAAGAATGAATATTATAATGAGAGGCAGGCTTATTCTATTGAGGGGCTTGGGGACATGACTATGATCATTCAGTCTTGGTCAGAGACTTATCTATACCTATATTACCCTGCCTAGGGTAATCTAGAAAAACAGGTGAGAATCCACTTTTACCCAGATCTGTCTGAGTAAAATGCAATAGGTCAGAATCTATCAATTCACCTAAACTAAATTTCTTTACCTTTTGAACAGATCAGTTTTCCATCTCATCATCAGCCCTGGACTTCAGAGGCTGTCTAAACAACCCACAGGGGCTGATTTCTGAATAAAGGAGGAGAAAAGGGGAAAAACCTTAGTCCTAATTCAATAATTGGTTATTAAGAGAGAAATAATCACTTCTCCCACAAATACTGGGTTGTATATCTAGATATAGATATTTAGTCATATGTTGTTGTTCAGTCTTTTCAGTTCTATCCAACTCTTTGTGACCTCATTTGGGTCTCCTTTAGGTTTTCTTGGCAAAGATACCAGAGTGGTTTGCCATTTTCTTCTCCAGCTTATTTTGCAGATGAAGAAATTGAAGCAAATGGGTTTAAGTGACTTGCCCATGGTAACATGGCAAGTAGGTGTCTGAGGCCAGGTTTAATTCACAAAAATGAGTCTTCCTGATTCCTGGCCTATCATTTTATCTACTTCGCCACTAGCTGACCTAATTTACTCATATAGATACAGGGCTCACACTCTCTCTCTCCCCCACCTCTCTCTCTCTCTCAATATATATATGTATGTGTGTGTGTGTGTGTGTGTGTGTGTGTGTGTGTGTATAGATATATTGATGGATATGGATGGATGGATATATATGTGTGTATTTATATTTGTGTGTGTGTATGTATTGTGAAAAATGATTTCCCTTAGTAATCTGTAACTTGGAGACTCAGAGCTCCCAGCCCCTCTTCTGCTCCAAAATTCTTCAGAAGGACATTACTGAAAAAAAATAAATAAATTTTTAAAAAGGACATTATGGATAAGGAGATTGCATTGAATCTTCTTATCCTGGTCAAACTCCAACTCAGGCCTGAATTAATTTTATCCTACTCAGGCTTGGGTGGAGACAGATTTCTTCTGCCTAGATAGTCCAAAGACTGAGTATGGTACTTCCTCTGTCCAGATGGTGGGTGATACCAGCCCCTGTTGACCTAGATTAAGTGACCTAAGCCACATACTCAACACCTCATTTTAATATAACCCACCTCCCAGTGTTTTGACCTATCAGAGTTAATTGGCATTCCTTGGGAACACCTATTCTTCCAAGCGCTTATAACTCTGTACCACCAAATCCCAAATTGAGCCAGTTCTGAACTGGTCTCCTTAGCGGGGCCCTGTTTTGGACTGAACTCCCACATAATGCATGTCAAGCCAGCTTGGGAGAAATTAAACCATGGATAAATGCACCTTAATTTCATTTGTCTCTTTCTTAGAACAGACTCAGTAATTTATTGGGGTTTGTCACAGAGAGAGACAGAGAGAAACAAAGGGAGAGAGGTGCAATTGGCCAATATGTGTCTAGATAGATAGATAGATAGATAGATAGATAGATAGATAGATAGATAGACAGACAGACAGACAGACAGACAGATAGATATACATATATATTTATGTATATTTATTGAGAGAAGCATACACAAGAGGCGTGGGAGAGAACCTATACCAAGCATAGAGATGGAAAATGGACTGTCATACATAAAGAAAAGTAAGGAGGCTAGTTTGGCTTTTTGTAAAAGGATATACTGTATAATAATCCTGGAAAGGTAAAGCTGGAGCCAAATTATGAAAGACTGGCTTTAAATGTCAAAAAGGAGATAACATTTTATGGTAGAGGCAATAAGGAGTCACTAGGTCTTTTTGAGCAAGAGAGTGCCTGTATCAGACCTATGCTTCTGGATTTTCATTTTGGCAACAATGTGGAGGATGGACTGAAGGGGGAGAGAGAAACCTCAGGAAGAAAGATCAATCAATTAAGAAGCTATTGTAATAGCCCAGGTAAGAAGTGATGAAGACCTGAATTAAAGTAGTCCTATTATCAGGGAGATGGGGACACATGTTAGAGATGTTGTGAAAGTAGTATTAACAAGCCATAGCAGCTGATGAAGCATGGAAGTTTGGGATGTTGAATGAGAGTGAAGAATTAAGGATGATTCCTGGATTGTGAAATAGGGTATGAAAAGAATGTTAATACCCTCCAAAGAAATAGGGAAGTTAGGAAGAAAGATGGATTTAGCAAAAAAAAAAGAACAATAATGAGTTCTTTCTGGGACTTGTTGCATTTGAGAGGCCTATATTACCTATTAGTGAATTAGTTAGCTATTACAGCCCAAAAATAAAGAAAAATGTAAAATGCCCCATGGTCTTACATGCACTGCCCCCATACTTTTCCAGTTATGGAAGTAGGAAAAAGAAGACAGAAGGTGAAGAATCACAAATTTTAGACCATCCATAAGTATTAGCTTAATAATTGGCACTCTGTGTGAGAACTTCATTCAATGACTAATGAACTGATATACTATTAGGGAAAATGAACCACTCCCAAACTAACATTCTCACTACAAATGAAACTAAAGGCACAAAGACACTTCAAATAATGGAAGATGGCTCACAAGGTCTCCTCAGGGAGGTAGTCAAAGGAATTAGCAATGTGGGTTTTGTTATGCTCTGAAAGGCAGCAATAAACATCTAACAGCAGTCATCTTGCCTTGCAATTCACTTGATACTCACGCAAAAAGATTATGAATATAATTATGTGCAAGCATCTATTGCGTAAGATAACATAGTAGAAAAATTCTATGCAGAATTTTACAGAGCCCTCCAAATGGTAAGAGAGGCCTTGCTGACCTATGGAACTTCCCTCTGTGTTTGGGTGTGGGGTTACAATTATGCAAATACAGCTCATGTTTTTAACCAGTGCTTTTACTCCCAGTAGATCAAGCAAGGACGATAAATCAAATAGCTAAGCATTCAGTTGGGGCAGAATGGAAAGCAAATAACATCATTATTTTTATACAATATTCCCCACTATATGTTGGTATAATCTCCCATAGATTACTACTCTAATATGGAAGGAAGCCACTCCTCAAACAACTGGACCTTCAAGGCAGGGAAGGGTTACATTGAGAATGAAACACATTTCATAGCTCTGTCTCCCAGTAATGAACTGGGACTACCTCTGACATGGTCCCACTTAGAACTCTGCCTTCAGCTACCTCCTTCAGTTAACACAAAGAGCCCAGAAATTGCTTCATTCCATAAAAAGGATTTTTTTGTCAAACATAGGATCACAGATTTAGAATCTGAAGGGTCCTAAAATCTAGTCATTTGACATCTAGTCACAAATGTCAAGTGACTTGCCCAGGATCACGTAAGTAGTAAGAAGCAGAGCCAGGCCTAGAACCCTGTGTCTGGTGTTCTGACTCAAACTCCAGCATCATTTCTATTGGGCTACACTGTTTTGTGTCACTCAGGGTAGGGACACACTACTTTTGGGCACAAGCTCGTCTGTAAAATATTATAGAAAATATTGATTGGTGATTAAAAAGAGTATCATATCACAAAAGTTTAGAAAGCACAAGGCTGCAGAAAGCTTGCCATGAAACCCAGCAAATCTGGGATATCCCTTGAGTAGTTGTGGGTGAAATGGGAAAAAAAAGGGCAATAGTAAAGGTGAAATAAAACATTTTTAGCATTTCTATTAAAATCTATGCTCATAATCAGAGATAGAACCAGTCCATTAGAAATCTACCTTCTCAATATCAGAAATATTAAGTGAGGAGCTAGAAATGGCACTTAGGAAGATAACACTGGAAAGAGCAACTGAATGTACCTAAACACATATAAGAAAAAATCCATTCTGGAAGCAACACAATTTTTTTTTTGTAAATGGTATTCTATTTTTCCCAATTACATGTAAAGATAGTTTTTAAAATTCATTTTTTATAAGATTTTGAATTTCACATTTTTTCTCGCTCCCAACTGCCCAACCTCTCTCCTCAAGATGGCAAGCAATCTGATATAGGTTATACATGTGCAATCGTGTAAACATATTTCCACATTAGTCATGTTGTTAAAGAAGAAACTGAACAAAAGGGGAAAGCTACAAAAAAATTTAAAAACAAAAAAGTAAAAATACTATGCTTCAATTTGCATTCAGACTCCATAGTTCTTTCTCTGAATGTGGATAGCATTTTGCATCATGAGTCTTTTTGGAATTGTGTCAGATCATTATTTTGCTGAGAAGAGCTAAGTCAATCATAGTTCATCTTCACACAATGTTGCTATTACTATGTGTAATATTCTCCTGGTTCTCCTCACTTCAATCAGCATCAGTTCATTTAAGTGTTTCCAGGTTTTTCTGAAATCTTCCTGCTCATCATTTCTTATACCACAGTAGGA